GAATAAAAGTTATGCCTTCTTTCTTTGCATATACATTTGGGCAGTGTTATGCAAATCTTCCCACACAGTGACGTAAGTATGAGGGGGCTCTTCTGTATGCACAAACAGCTTTTAACACGCCAAAGACAAAGGAAAACAGGAAATTGCACAAGAGTTCAGGGCATGTCTGAATTCAGTTCATTGTAATTTTATTTACAACGGGAAAGAACAGGATGTTACAGCATATATGTTTGGGTGTGTTTAACCCAGTAGGGTATATATTTGTTCACAGTCATTCACTGCAGCTGCTAATAATATTTCAGTTGAAAGTGCCATAGCCTGCACTTTGTGGATGGATTTTGTTCCAGGCAAACAGAACATTACTATACATTACCATTCTAAAATAATTTTGGAAATAATTATTCATAACCGCCTATTTTCTAAAATAGTGTGTAAAGATTCATGTTTTGGTGTTAAAATGTTGTTAATTCTCACCTCACACTCATAGTTTCAGTACACCCAAAACTCGTTAGATATTATATATATATTAGATTAGACTATATGGTTGGAACTCTCCGCGGCTCCCACTGTCACCGTCTGTTTATGTTTTGAGAACTTTTAAGCCGGGCATACACTGTGTGATTTTCTTCTGTTTGTGAGCCAATTTCTGAGTCTTACGACTCAGAATTAGCAGAATTTGACCTTTTTTGTGCAGTGTACAGGGGGTAACAAGAGGCGATTAACCTCTTCCAACTGGCAGTCAGACGGTCGGATGAATTTCTGACATCATAAAATTGGTCGCCCCGCATGAGGTTATCACATGGTTGAAGCAGAGCTATAAACGGATTGTCCTAAACTCAGTGTATTTCTCCTGACGAAAACAGAACTTAAATCATGGCTACTCTGCGTGTGGAACGGATGGAAGTTATGGAGGCGACACAGTTCCGGGATCGGTCCTTGTGTTCGTTTTACATGTGAACAGTCAAATCACAGCTTGGTGATCAGACCTTATAGTGCAAGCACATAAATCACGAGCTTTGGCCTTACATTGTATGCAATTCATTCGTAAAAGTGAGTAATGTGGCTGTGAGCCTTAAGTGGCCCTTATATGATGCCGCAAATGTGGCCCGCATATAAAACGACAAATATTGGGCCACTTTTGGATTACAAAGCTCATCGGTCTGAAAAGTGAGGTGTGCTGTGATTGGCCAGCTATCCAGTGCGTTGTGATTGGCCGAATACCTCAAACGTGTGACGGAAATGTTACGCCCTTTACCAGGTTCAGAAAACTTTCCTCCGTAAAATGCGCTGCACACACTCGAATATTTGGTTTGTACTGTTCTGGAACAGTGTTGTAAATAAAAGTTAACCACTGATTTCTAGTTGTGTCCTCTTTTGGAAGGCCAACAAAGAAGTTTGGCTTTCGCAACGAAATGCACAGCGTCTCCAAGACATGGTAGTGACGAGAATAAAAGTTATGCCTTCTTTCTTTGCATATACATTTGGGCAGTGTTATGCAAATCTTCCCACACAGTGACGTAAGTATGAGGGGGCTCTTCTGTATGCACAAACAGCTTTTAACACGCCAAAGACAAAGGAAAACAGGAAATTGCATCATATGACCCCTTTAAGTTTCCGATTGTGCCCTTTTGTTTTCATAGTTACTCATTTGTTGTCATGGTAACTGTGGCCCATATGTAAAACAGCAAAAAAGGCCCAAATGTATCAAATCACATGTGGGCCTCTGTAAGTAAAGTTGCGGTGTTGACGGCAATGTGTAATCTGAATGTGACCCTAAAGTGGCCCATGTGGTAAACAGTGATTATGGCCCAAATGTGGGCCACCTTTGGCAAAAATGTGGCATTATCGACAAAGGCTAATCAGGGTGTAAACCAAATGTGTTCCACATATGTTTCAGTAAATGTGGCCCAGGTACATTAAAATGTATAGGCCAGGTTTGGCAATGATATGGCATGGTAAGCACTGACTAATGTAGCTTTGAGCCTAAAATGGCCCACATGTGAAGCCACAAATGTGGCCCAGTTATCCTAAAGCGTATCTGGGCCAGTTTTGGCAAAGATATGGCACAGTGAGCACTGGCTAATGTGGCTGTGAGCCTTAAGTGGCCCTTATATGATGCCGCAAATGTGGCCCGCATATAAAACGACAAATATTGGGCCACTTTTGGAAAATATATGGCACAGTCAGCATTGGCTAATCAGTGTGTAAGCCAACTTGTCCCACATTTGACATGGCAAATATGCCCCATATATGATAAAACAGATGAGGACCACTTCTGGTTGTAACACTTGACAAGTGAGGCCACTTCTTGGATGTAACACTTGACACTGGCTAATTGAAATGGAAGCTTGAAATTGTAAACATGGCCTAATAGAATTTGGCTACTTTTAGTAGGATGCAACACAGTTAGCTGATGCAGGGTGATCTGGATGTGAGTCTTAAGAAGGCTACATACGCAGCAATTTATTTTTTGAAACATGTTTTAATGGCAGTTTTTTTATATGTGTACTGTGCAGCATTAAAACAGAAGTGCACTACAGTGATTGTACTCTTACTGTCATGGTTTCTGTTAATTTGGACTTTGTATTCCTTTTGCACCGTTTCCCTTGTTGTGTTGACTGTATTATTCTGTTCAGGTGTGCCTAGTTAATTATCCTTGTTTGGTCTGAGTACTTAAGTTACTGTATGTTCACTTTGAGTTTGTCTGGTCTTATGTCTACATGTCTTAAATGTTGCTGTGCTACATTGTGTTTAGAATTAAGACTTATGCTATATAACCTTTCATCTTCGTTGTGTGCTCTTTAACACATCGTAGCTATGACACTAACAGACTTACTCTGTAGGTAGAGTCTGAGTGAGAAGCATTTAAGATCAAACTTGTGAAGAACTTGTGAAGAACAGTTTTTAAAGTATTGGAATGTGTCTTTGAATATTTATCTGTTACATTTTAATTGCTGCTTGTGCAAAACTTGGGTCGGGATGATTTTATCTAGTAGGACACATTTCTGTAACTTATTTGAACATTTATGGAGGACATTATTAAATTTCTCTTTACATTGTTGAGTATTGTTGATGCATAACTCACTCAAGGCTTAGTGTGGCCCAGATAATGTATATTTATGGTTTATTTAGTTCATTATTAGCTTAAATGTGGCTGTGTAGTGGCCTGCTTGTGGACCACTGCCAAAAATGTCACCATTCCATGCAGCGTGTGGGCCACATGAGGAATGCGGGGAAGACCTTTTGTTAGAATAAAAATCAACTGTGGCCCACGTTAGGGCCAGTTTTGGTTTATTTGGTTGGCTTACATGTAGCAATGGCTTACTTGAGGCCCAAATCTGGCTAACAGAACTGGACTGCCCAAATGCCATTATTCCACGCAGTATGTGGGCCGGAGCAAGGTGTTGGATCTTAGCCGTATCTGGGCAAGATTTGGGCCAGTTCTACTTTATTTTATTTATTTATTGTCATGGCTGACATGTGGCCTTCTTATGGCTTGCTTGTGGCCCAAATCTGGCAAACAGAACTGGACTGCCCAAATGCCATTATTCCACGCAGTATGTGGGCCGGAGTAAGGTGTTGGATCTGGGCCAGAATTAAAATAAATGTGGCCCAGATTTGTGCCAGTTCTGGTTTATTTTATTTATTTATTTTCATGGCTGATATGCGGCCTACCTGTGGCTTGCTTGTGGCCCAAATTTGGCGAACAGGAGCGGACCACCCAAGTGCCATCATTCTTCACAGTATGTGGGCCGGAGTAAGGTGTTGGATCTGGGCCAGAATTAAAATGAATGTGGCCCAGATTTGGGCCAGTTCTGTTTTATTTGGTTTATTCATGGCTGACATTGGGCCTTCTTTTGGCTTGCTTGTGGCCCAAATCTGGCAAACAGGAGCAGACCGCCCAATTGCCATCATTCCACGCGGTATGTGGGCCAGATGAAAGTGTCAGGTGTGGGCCTGATCTGGGCCTCAGGAATTTTGCTATCTGGGGTCTGAATGCTCTGTATGTCCATGCACAACTTTAATGAGAAAGACTTGTATTCAGAAAACACAGACTGTTCTGTCTCCATTTTATTATTTCATTAGTCATTTAACAAGGTTAATTGGAGCCCAGAACAAACACTATTATCATGGATAACAATATAAACGAATAATGGCTGTTAATGTTTCCCTGTTGTGGGATGTGGTTGCGCCCACCTGATTCATCAGCAGCTATGTAAATTGATTGAAAAACTGCGTAGTGAGATGCCATCCAGCATAATCAAACAGATGTAGTCAGTTTAGTACTTCAGTAAACAAATCTTGCAGTGTTGCAGTCACTGGTCTTGTGTTGCAGCCTCGAGTCTTCAGTTAGCAATATACTGTAATGCCACTGGTCCCCCTCAGTTAAAACTACTTTCTGAGGGAGATGGGTAGGTGGTGCCCTACATCCAACTGCACCAACCACATATAAGGAGCACCAGTACTGATCACTGCCATAATTACAGTGATGTGCAGTTCTCAGGCTACACCAGGGGGCCAGTTCTTTACTGGCTATAAAGTTAATACAGTGGTTCTTAACTCCAGTCCTGTGTGTCTTCCATATTTAACGCACATTGTTGGAGCAGCATTAGATCAGCCTTCCAGGCACCAATAACTTTGGACTTACAAAACCAGTTTGGCTGCTTCCCTGCTTTATGATTTCAACAACATTTTCAAAATATCCTTTGAGGCCACATTAGTTTTATATCCTAAAAGTTATAGAAAGTACAGAAAAATGGGACAGATATTTTGTGAAATGTATTTATTTCTGAAAAATAAACTATTATACACATATGCAAAGTGTCACACTACTTGCCAGTGTGTCATTAGGAGACGTGTATATAGACATCACATCACACAGACAGTTACAAAAATACAAAAAACATAATTTAAAGCATCTGGCATCAAGATAACCAGACAAACACAAATTAAGAAAAAAAATGATTTTGGTAACTTCAGTCATAATTTCATAAGGCCAAAATAGGAAATCCAAACTAGGAAATCTGTGAAATGGATTTAAACATGGTAAAATGTGATCAACTGAGCTGAGAGAACTACATTCCTTTAGTGGCTGACAATATTAACCATATTAAGTATTAAGTATAAGTGCCTAAAAATTTTGTGAATGACACTTGTTCCAGATCTGCAGGGCACAGATTCCATGCAAACATTTTTGTGCATGCAATTTGATATCAGCAGCAGTGACTAAAGAAATGATGGAAGACGATCCCACCACCACCAGAACAATGGTGCAATCAACACAGGTGTTTAAAATGGGCTCCATTGACGGCCTACTGATTTGCGATCAAGTGCAGGAACCTGTATTCAAAATAAACATGTATATACCTTCATGTAGAGCAGTCACATTGCATAGGTGATTACAAAAATTCCAGAATATAAAATTCAGCATGCAGTAATAAAAAAAAAACTGGAGTAAATAATAACTCCTTAGTCTGATCAGGGACTCCTATGGAGTCAAAATTATGATTTCCTTTTTATCAACCAGTGATGACGAGGACGTTAATCGCAAAGAAGTGTCCGTACGAGATGGGTGATATCATGCAAAACCTCAGTACCGGCAATCACGCAGGAATGCATCCAAATCTTTGCATACAAATACCAGGATGGGGCAGGAATCCATGTAAATATGGAAGACTTGAAGAGCTTGTTCCTGAGTGGAAAAATTAACAAGAGTTTTCAAGCCAATAATCACACAGCAGATCAATAAAAACGTCTTTCCTTCATCGTGAGTTCATGAGGGCCACTGTGCTCTCCGGTTGCCCTCGGACCAGCTCAGAGAAGAACTCCAGCGCCAGCCGCACGTGGATAGGCACAAACACATAGGAGGTGTAAATGACCATGGCCACCATAGTGAAGAGGAGCGTGTTGAAGATGGACTGCTCCCACGGCTCCAGCACATAGATGCCTGTGATGAGCAGGTACTGATAGTACAGCCAGCCCATATACTCTCTCATGTTCTTCATATCCATGCGGAGGACCGACACAGCCGCGCTACGAGCTGCTGGGGAAGACAACAGGGTGAGGTGCTTCCTTACATACTGACAATGGACACGACAACAACAGATGAAACGACGGTGTGTAATAATGGTGCTCAGGAGTGGTATATGTCATTAAAGAACCTAACAAACGAAGCCACATGAATTTATGACGTGAATGAGTAGCTATTCATGCTGCTCATGTTTTCCATTATTTATTTTTAGGGCCGTCGTCTGAGACTATTAATAACAAATTGAATCATGTGAAACAAAATAAACATTAATGATACACACTGATGTTCTAAGAGCATGAACATGTGTCCTGTAATGACAACTGGACAATCAGTGAGAATCAAATCGGACTCTTCTTGAGCGTTGTGGTAGTATTAAATTATTGGTCAAGGAAAACATCTTGGAGCGCTACTTGCTGAAGGGACCTCCGTTTAATAATCCCAGAAGGTGCTCTTTGGTTGGGTTCAAACTTGTATCTATAGAAAGTCATTTTTTTATGTTTCTAGAGTAAGACATGTTTGACCAGAGGCTTTTTAATTTTTTCGGAACCGGAAGAAGTGCCTTGGATTCTTATTTTCTATAGATTAAATTATTAGTCGTTTATTTTTCCTCAGCAGTAATCACACCAGGGACCATCTGACCATTGTCAGGCAAACTGTGCATGAAGAGAGTGCTGGGATGAAACGAACTGTTTAAATGTGCTAATTATCGATGTGGAGCTCGACACGTGTAGCAGTGAAGCCCTGCAGGAGCCATCTACAACCAAAACCCAGCATTGAACATGTTTGCTCGCTCTGAGAACTCAACAAGGAAAACATTTACACTCTTGCTCATAAAACGCAAACTAATACAACAACTGGGTTGCATATTTGGACTTAAAATGTGATTGTTATGGTAAATTATTAATCACATAACAAGGCTATATAGTTTAGTTACACTATACTGTCTCACTGAGTAAAGTGAACATAGGTAGTTCACAAATGATTTTTATTTTATTTATGTTTAAACTCAGTCATATTCAGCCCTATTTCTGATTTAAATCAAACTGGTTAAATGAGACATTACCACACAAAGCAGATAAATCATTTCACAGGGCTATATTCAGTATCCCTACAGCCATCGATCTAATAAGTTTCATCTGTGGTGTGAAGTCAAGATGACACATAGTAAGCATAAACAAAACTAATTATACATAACAACGGACAAGAGGTAACAATGTCAACTGTCAAGTCATAATTCCATATCCAGGCAACAGCAGAAACATTAAACATCATTTCAGCTGGACCCTTTACCTGCACTGGCTGTTAGTAGGACAGAGTACAGTTTGTTTTTTTTGCTCTATTATTTAAAAACATCCTCATATAGAAGATACCAATGTGAATGTGCACGCATTATAACAGTTCAACCGTGCATGAGAGAGAATGTTTCCTTGTACTCTGTTATGACTGCACCTGTTCTCTTGTAGAAACAGTAATAGTAAGTTGCATAGTTGTAGTAGTAGCATGGCCACTACAGTTATTGTTGATATTCATCTTCAAAAGCAGCATCAACTAAACATGCCAGTCCTTCAAAGCCTCTGTAAATGTGCAGGCAGGTCTGAGAGTCATGTGAAGTCACTCACCTCCACGGGTCACGCTGCAGTGAAGAGTGGATGTGATGTGAGAGTGTAGTAAGCTGCTCTACCAGTTAAACTCACGCGCCACACCCACTTCTCCCATTCACTCTCACCTGTGTGTTTCAGTGCGTGCGTGTACAGGACTAGAATGGCAAAAGAAAAGATCAAACGTATTTTAAAGCTGCCTGTCTTTTTCTAACATGCGATAGAGCACACAGTGCAGCGTAACACACTCTCTCTCTCTCTCTCTCTCTCTCTCTGTCTCTCTCTCTGCGGTCATGATGCTGTAGCTGCAGCATCAGTACAGTACTCTGTGACGTCACATGCCGCATGGATGTTTTACAGCAGTCGGCTCATTCCTATATTTTACAAAATAATTGCATATGTAAATGTAACGTTTTTAACAAGAAATGGAGTCACTAAAATACATTTAAAATTAGATGAATTATATATTTTTAAAAATGTGTTTTTACATTGACAGTGTAGCATAACTATAACTATATATTCCTTATAACAATGCCCATGTTTTACAAGTTTATTAATTTACATGACTTGTAAAGCTGGAGAATCCTGGTATAAAGCCAAGGAGCATCTTGATTTTTAGTTGTTTTATCTAAATGTAATGCTTGTTTCGTCATATTTTAAAAGACATTTAAGTCATCTTGAGGACCTAACACTGCAGACTAGGGCTGCAAATGAATTTCTTGCTAGAAGCTAGCAGTCAAGGTCAAATTGGATTTTGTGTTAGTATTGCATATTTTCCATAAAGGAAGTATTTGTTACATATACAGTATTTTGTTACATGGTGTCAGTCATGTGGGAGTGTATTTGTTTTATATGCTATGAACCACACAATCACAAGTGCTGTGGAAACTGAACTCTAACCCTCTTCCCAAAGCATCAGTCCATGGGCTCAAGTTTAGAGCCAGTTAAGTCCATCCTTTGTGCAGAAGTCATTAGTTGTTCAGAATGATTTGTAACTGCATCAGGCAGCAGAAAGATTATTTAGAGGTAAACATGCACTATTAATCCACTGTTTTTATGATGAAAATGTTATGCTGACTGACAGTAATTCCAAGGGACTACTCACCTTTTGCTGACATTTGGTGTTTTGAATGGAGGGAATGTCAAATGTAATTTGTAATAGTGCATGTGAACAAAGTGAAGGCAAAGAAACAGGTATAGAGTGAATGTTGTGAATGAACTAAATGAATGTCACTATACCTCGCTTTTATTGTGTTATATTAAAATATAGTTTTCATAAAAATTTCTCCTTTTGCATTCCACAACATACTATCCAACATGAGAGATTTTCTAAATTTCGAAAGTATTAAAGGTGCAGTAAGCGATATTTGAAATCACCAAAACAAGCATGCCCCTACCCTCTCCTCTCTTCCTTCTCTGCAAATATCTCCACTGCTAAAACGACATACTACCACAATAAAATTAACAATTGTTCTGACTTCCGCACACTTTTCAAAACCTTCTCTTCTCTTCTTTTCCCCCCTTCCCCCCTTCTTCAAATCTTACAGCTGATGACTTTGCAACATTCTTCATAAACAAAACAACAACCATCAGCAGCCAATTCTCCACATCTCAAACTGACAATCACATCATAACACATACACACACTCTCTCCTCCTTCTCTCCTCTCACGGAGGCAGACATTTCCAAACTTGTCCTTTCCAAGCATCCTACTACCTGTCCGCTTCAAGGTGTCTTGGAGAAGGGAGGTTTCTAAGTCACAACTTCTTGCTACTGGGGTTCCTCAGGGCTCAGTGCTTGGACCGCTTCTCTTCTCCATCTACATGTCATCATTAGGATCTGTCATTCAGAAGCATGGCTTTTCTTATCACTGCTATGCTGATGACACTCAACTCTACTTCTCATTCCATCCAGATGATCCAACGGTAGCTGTTCGCATTGCAGCCTGTCTGACAGACATCTCTGGCTGGATGAAGGAGCACCACATTCAGCTCAACCTTGCAGAGACAGAACTACTCGTGGTCTCAGCCAACTCAGCACTTCATCGCAACTTCTCTATAGAGCTAGGTTCGTCAACCATAACTCCTTCTAGGATAGCCAGGAACCTTGGCGTTGTGACTGATGATCACCTAAGCTTCACAGACCATATTACTACAATGGCCCGGTCCTGCAGATTTGCTTTATACAGCATTAGGAAGATTAGACCCTTCCTATTAGAGCAGGCCACACAACTGCTTGCTCAAGCTCTTGTTCTCTCCAGACTGGACTATTGTAATGCTCTCTTAGCAGGCCTTCCGGCATGTGCTATCAAGCCTCTGCAACTGATCCAGAATGCTGCAGCAAGAGTGGTCTTCAATGAGCCGAAGATAGCGCACGTCACACCTCTCTTCATCAGTTTACACTGGCTACCAGTAGCTGCTCGCATCAAATTCAAGGCACTGATGTTTGCCTACAAGACAACTACTGGCTCTGCACCAAATACCTAAACTCGATAGTTCAGACTTATGCGCCCTCCAGAAGCTTGCGTTCTGCAAGTGAACGACGCCTCGTGGTACCATCCCAAAGAGGCACGAAATCACTCTCACGGACCTTTACCTGGACTGTTCCCAGTTAGTGGAGTCTTTGGCCATCTTCAAAAAACATCTAAAGACATATCTTTTTCGTCAGCACTTGACTAACTAATGCTAACATTTTCTTTTTACTGTTGCCCTCGTATTGGTCTGAATTTATTCTATTTGCTCTTCTCATTTGTAAGTCGCTTTGGATAAAAGCGTCTGCTAAATGATTAAATGTAAATGTTGATGTTAAATGAATCACACCCCTATCTTGCCTCCGCCCCAAAATTTCTGAACATGCTATTCACAGGCACCTCCCTCATCACTACTGGACACGCCCCTTACTGGTGATTGGCTACAAGTGTGTTTTGGTGCTCGGTCCGATCCACTTTCAACAGCGTTTCTCAGAAATCGCTTACTGCACCTTTAAGTTTACAAAACAACGTTCGAGTGGGCCGTATTAATTGGTTTAAGTTCAAAGTAGCAGTCAAGATAATTAGCAATTTGTGAATCCAAAAACTAATTAAGTTGTTTGAAGGTTGCATTGGCCTTCAGCATCACCGTGTTCAGGGCTGGATGTGGCAGCCAGATAGATAAACACAGATCACACACAGAACACAGGCAGCATGAGTCAGTAGCTTTAAGTGTTGTAGTCAGAAAGTGCTTCTGAAAATGTACTGGTAATTTTCTGCCAGGACATTATCCATTAATTTAACAGACATTTCTGTTAATTCTAAAACACAGTGCAATGCAGTGAAATATACAGGTAAAACACCTGTGAAAAAAATCGATACGGAAATTTGATATATTATAGTACACTGTGCTCTATTTTTTTTTTGAGAAATCTATACAGTGCTAATCATTCGATTACACATTGAGTATTATTTTTTCAGTTTATATGATGTAGCTAATTAGTTTTGACTATAATCATAACTCTGTTTTGGTATTATTAATCATAATTTTGCTGTGAAAGCCGATGTGTGATTTGTGACACCAGCTCTGTTAAAAAAAGGGTATTCAATTGCAACATCTTGAAAGAAAAACAGATGCAGTTATAGAAATGACGTGAACTGAAGAAGAAAATAATCTCATACAAATATAGTCTGCCTGTTCTAAAAAGTTACCACTACCATTTGACATAACTGTCAAACTAATATTAAACCTCAGTTTCACACAAGGGTGTCGGTGGATATATGATATTTGCTGATTCACACAGACAAGACCTCGCTGCAAAAAGAAAAGCATGTCATGTGAAAAAGCATGCCTTGGAAAGAATTCAGATCCGGCTGTCAGGTGTGCTGAAGTCTTTAGAAAGCCAGGTGGGAAAACCGGATTGTTGGAGCAGCATTAGATCAGCCTTCCAGGCACCAATAACTTTGCACTTACAAAACCAGTTTGGCTGCTTCCCTGATTTATGATAATACCCCTTCTATACATATCCAAATATTATAGGTCTCAAATTTGCTTTTGGGAAAAATAAGCTAATTATTTTTCCTCATTTACTGTGTTGAATAATGTATATTTTATTGAATCCTTGTTTATTATCAAGTATTTCAATCTGATTTAATAGTTAATTTAATAATGAATCAATTCCTTAACTTTTTTTTCTACTCTGCACTAAATGTGCAGTACCAATAGTGCTTTAATAAATTGCACTCACAATAAAGATGGAAATCATATTAGTTTACTGTACGTCTATCACAATTAAGTAAATATAGAATTAATTTAAAAACATTTCACTACTTCAATTTTAGTGGATGTTGTCCTCAGGTAAACATGAAAAAATGTGCAGGTAGGGCCTCTCTGATATGAAATCTGCCAAAAAA